TGCAAAGGACAAAATACATAAACTATGAGGAACTGAGCTGTACAGGTGCTAAGGATCAACTCTTAAGGTGTGACAGGCAGATGACATTTGGGTAGCAGACCCCATTTAATTCAAAGACCTTGTAAATTTTGTCTGAAAGTGACATTTCCAAAAACTTATGTCACATTACTCACATCTTTCTTACTCGGGAGGTTTAAGGAATTCTACCAGTTTAACTAATTCAGGGGCACAGTCTTTTATGAAGTATACAGGGCACATTCCCTTTGGACGGTTATGGTCATCCCCATAGGCTCCATGACTGAACAAATTTAATAGCGGAATGTAATGGCAAGAGTGTGTCTTCTTTAATTATTTCTCTGAAGATGACAAGGGTGGACCACTCTTGTGCCTTCTGATTTCTGAAAGTGATGCTGAGGTATGAGACCCCACTGTATCGACATCAACGCAGTGCTAACTGTTAATTATGATGCTACCAAGAAAAGAAAAACTCGCCATTACTACCCGAGGGCTGGAGGTTCCTATAGACATCTTTGGACTGCTGTCACACAAATCCTTGGGTTTATTTGGGTTTATCTTTAGGAACAGGGGGGACGCAAGAAGATGTAGTCACTGAAGCTGCAAATGTCAATCAGCTTCACCCAGCGAATTTCCATGAAACAATCGCTCGCTCCCCTTGTATGGACTTTCGTTTCTTCAAGGTATTATGAGAATAACAGATCCAGGAGAGACTGTTGAGCAGCAGCACTCTCTTGCTGGCGCTGTTAAGTACAAGGACATATTAAATGGGATAAAATAAGTAGTGCTCGTCGATCATCATTTTCGACGTGAAAGACTGAGTACTTACATTCACCATCAGAAGTTTTATTTCCAAGGTGGCTATTAGATGTCTCAGCTCTTCAGCCACAGAATTTCCCCGAGAATCCCTCAGTACCTCAAGTTTCTAAAGTGAAAAGACATGTGCAGAAATCAGCCCCATGTCATCTTGGTTTACAAATGTGAACAGCAACATTTAAAAGCGAGTAAATTTGGTAAAAGACATGGTTTAATTATTCCAAAACAAGCACACACCATGTGCAACATGAAGATCGAAACACCCACCAAAGAGACACAGACATTGCCACCCCGCAACCCACTGCTGAACGTTCAATCATGAGGTATTAGCAATGAGGGTGGCTCAGGGGAAGGGTGCTTGCCTAGCATGTGTGAGACCCTGGGATCCTTCTCCCCGCACAGCAAGAAGAAAAGCAAATGAAACTGAATGAAAACAGAGAACACGAGGCATGAGCTCATTTATTGCCACTCACCCACTTCTTCTGGAGATGGAGTAGCTTGTCCTGTGCTATGACCACTGAACACCACGAAATTAAAACTCAAGGTTTCCACCCCCACGGTCCCTTTAGTGCTGAGTGTAATTGAACATACTACATCTAAATGGTTTTGTTAAATACTGTGGGGGGGGGGAATTATAGAACTCTGTGGGACCTCTTCCTTAGTCTGGTGATGCAGAAAACACAGAAGCAGGAACAACACAGAGATCTTAATGTTGGAATGGGCAAGCAAGTTTCTGGGCCACCGGGCTGTCAAAAGCATGACATTTCAGCAGGAACAGATACTGGCAGAGAGTGTGTGTGTGTGTGTGTGTGTGTGTGTGTGTGTGTGTGTGTGTGTGTGTGTGTGTGTGTGTTTGGTGGTGGTGGTGGTAGTTGTTGTAGGGGCTAAACATAAGAAAGCATGGGGGCATGGGGTAAATTCTTATAACTTGATTGTTTGGGTCATCTTAATTACTCGGGATGAACAAAACTTTAACAGCAACTTGAACAAGCCAGTTCACATCAAGTCTGGAAAAAAAAATACAACCCAGAATGCTGAGTACTTAATTCCTTTGCAAATAGCTGTAAACCTGCAGATAGCATAGGTCAATGTGCCTAGGAAGAATTTACAAAGACGGGCCTATTACAGAGGGTGACTCTCAATTCACAATCTCTCACTTACTTAAGTCTTCCACTTACTTTTCCACTGTGTGCTACATCTGGGAGCTGTCTTACAACTCTAATTGGCCATCTAAAACCATGTTTCAGTCATGCAATGGTATAAAATCAAAGTGGACTGAGGAAATAAAGCAAGAGCAAATGTGATATATTCTTGTCACCACTCTGCTTAAAAATGGATCGTAGGGTCTGGGAAGAAGGCTCAGTGGGCAAAGAGCTTGCTCCACAAGTAGGAAAAGCCAAAGCCAACTTTGGCTCTCCAGCACACATATTAAAAGCCAAGCGTGGTGACACGTTGACCTGGGGCAGGGCAGGCCGCCCCTGGTACCTGGTGAACAGCCAGCCTAGCCACAGTGGTGAGCAAGTTCCAGGTTCAGTGAGCGATCCTGTCTCAGAAAGATACGCTGGAGAGTGACTGAAGATACCCACAGTTGGCTTCTGGCCTCCACACATAGACCCACAGACAAGTACACGTGTGTGTGCCTGTGTGCACATACACCCAACGGAAAACGTACTGTGAGACAAGAAGAGACGATCTGAAAAGCATTAATGCCCTGTACAATATGAACAACTCTAGATGAGATCGCCAAGGCAGGACTTCCTGCTTCGAATGATTCTGCCAACCAGAAGTGAATCCTAAAAGCAAAAACTCATTTTGTACTTCGGTTTACGTGGAACGGTGACACCATGAGGAATATGCTGGAAGATGTTTATGGGTAACTTTCCAAAGAGCACGGAAAGAATGCCAGAGTATTCAATGCCCTGTGGATAGGCTGCTTCCTCGGAATGTACAACAGACCTCCAAGTATTGTTCACACAGTGATTTAAAGCCTTCCATTCTCTTCTTCTGAAGAATCAGAGACTGATGAATAAATTTTCGTTGCTCCTTAAACATATTCTGCAAACAAAGACAATAAAAGATGTAAGAACAATTCAGGGGGGAAAAAAAAAACAGAAAGCTTACAGAAACATGACTCTGTATTGTATTTATGCAAAACACAGAGAATGAAATAACTATAGTGTTTTTTCAACCAACACAATGACCGCTTTACATGAGTTATCTAATACTACAGAATAACCTTAATACTATGAAGTTTCCATTCACTTAATGGAAAGTGTTCCTACTTAACAGTATTCAAAACATTCCTGTTAGCTCCTGAAGACTTGAAAACCCACCCATTAGAGGCCTCCATAGCTGTCGAACTCTGTTTTTTATAGAAATTACCATGAGATGTCCCCTGTGGCCATCTGTCACTCCCCTACATAGGAACCCACTCCATTTTGTCCTTCCCAGTGAGAGTAGAGCCCACAGTGCCATGCTTAACAGGGAAGGGTTCTGTAAGACTTACTTCAGATACTGTCCTGGACCGATATAAGAATACACATCTCAAAGTGTTTAGATGTGATATTTTGGCTCAATTCCGTGACATAGGCACTTTAAGTATCTCTCCTTTCACTTCTAGGAATCCGAGGCACAGAGGTAAATTATTTTCCTGAGTTAGCGTTAACTAGCAAGTGACTGAACTGTGACTGCATTCCAGCTGGTGGGATTGCAGAGGCCATGCTCCTGACCACTGGACTGGACGGCGTCTCCATCTCCCTCCGTATGTCGTGGATCATGAAGGGCTCCCTCTCAGGATACAATCCCATACCTTCTCCTGTACTCTCCAGGCAGTGCCTGCTCATCCCCCCACCATGACTGCTCCTAACCCATCACTGACCTTGCTGTGTCTTGGCAGGGAAAGGAACACGCCCGGGGGGTGGGGGGGTGGGGGGGAGGGGGAGGAGCCGGCCAGTCTCTCCTGACCACATCAACCACCATCCTTGTCTCCCTAAGCTCTTGTCCTGTCCCTTTCCTCCAGACTTGCTGCAGGAAGCCCTACTACTTCTGGTGCTGACACAATGGATTCCTTCAAAGCTAAGGCTGATACTCACAGAGAGTTTTTCTGCCTGTTTCTTGACTTGATCTGCATCCATGGATAACTTCCTATTCAAATTCATAATCTGAAGAGAATAGTCTTGATAAAGTTTCTGCCTGTGAATGATAGCAATGAACAGTGTGATATTCCCTCACAATATGAAGAAAGTGCATTCGAAGCACGACTGACTTGCCCTCACTAACACTATCGATGGAGGATGGGGAAATGGCATCTAAAATATTCTGACAGAGAAAAGGAAGCCCATGTGGATTATTTCATCTTACACTGACAGTATTTGTTCCTCCTTGGCTGAGAGAGAAGTCACTTCAAATACCTTAGCTCTAGAAAACTTACGGAGAATTATCATTAGTATTCTATTAATATTCCACAAGTATTCACCTTCCTGACACATACAGCTTCTCCTTTATTTCCTCTTTCTGGAGAACAGATCCAATGAGCATGCACATCCACTACCATCAGAGAATTCTGTGGAGGCCTACCCACTCTTCCTCACGTTGTGCCAGTGAGGATTTTGGTACAGTAGCATAGCAAACACTGTTCCTGAAATCTATGCGACATTGGAGACATCAGATTTTCATTTTTGTCACATGGAATAGATGGTCGACTGACTGCAGGATGAATGCTTTGAGGTTTTGAAGCTCATCATGCCCAACACATTCATGCGATGCATATACTGTCCTTACTGTTGCACTGATTCAACTGCATGTGTCAAAACGGTCATCGTAATTCATCCCTAGGAAATGCAACTGACTTCCGTTATGATGTGAGGCTATAATAAGACTAAAGGAAGTCTATTCTATACAGAAAATCCAAGCCAAATATATTTTCCAACCGAGCTTCTGGTCAGTGGGGGTCACGGCTATTCCTCAACCTCTTGCCATCATGCTTACTAACCAAATGTCAAAGGGTCTGGGATCAAAGCACCCAGAAGCAACAACCGTACCTTTGTTCACACTGGATTTTTAGGACATCCTCAACTCTCTGCTCCATGGTTTCAAAAGATGCCATGATGATCGCTGTGAATCTTTCTCTGTTTCCCTGAAGAAAGTTCTTAATGGGCTCTGTATTGAAATATAATCTTGCAACAATTACTGTAAAGTTCCCTCAACTTTAGTTTTCTACTTGGAAAGACACTTGTAATCAACAGATGGAAACAATCTGTCAATGATAAGATTATTTGCCTCCTTCCTTTCAGTCAAGAATCTCAGTGGTTATGACCTTGATGTGGAATTGGACAGCTGGACTTCAGTGTCTATATATTACATACAAAACACAGTGGACCTAACAAAACTTACAAGAAGGGTTTCAAGTCAGTGTGTAATTTCTTTATGAGACGTCATTTATGAGGTATAAATTTAATCAATGTACTCCAGTTCAAGATGTGCTCCAGTTCAAGGACACATTCAGAGGGACTGTTGGGCCGCTTTGTGCAAAACACAAAAGTAGTCCATTTACAAAGATCTCCAAAGACTCAGATATTATTGCACAGTGAGATGAAAATACTGTAATTATTGCAGCCATTGAACTTTTTAGACACATTTGACAAGGTAGACACCCTGAATAATTTAAAGGGGGGGAACCACATTGATTTGTAGAAAAGTGTGTGGTACTGGGGATGGAACCCAGCACCTTAAGCATACTAGGCAAGTGCTCTCCCACTCAGCTACATCCCTATCCTGATTCCTGAATAGTTTCTAGATATGACTCTCCATCAGAAAACTCTACAGAGCTCCCAGCCAGTTGTCAAGTTTGCAATGTTTTTGTTTTGTTTTGTTTTGTTTTGTTTTTTGTTTTTGTTTTGAACAGTTCATGTGACTAACATCTAACACAGCAATTTAAAGCAGGACTCAGTCTGATCATATAATGGTCACAGGCTACCAGTGCTGACTTCAGCTTTCCACTGCATGTGCTATTTTTTTGCACATTAAACAGTGGGTATCTATTTAAGAGGAGCTGGCCCTCACCAACCTGCCCCCCCCCTCCACACACACACACACAAAGAGCCGGACTAGAATACAAACAAGTGAAGTAAAAATGTGATACTAAAAACAGACGTATCACTTGTGTGAATCAAAACCTGGGAGACAGATAATTTCATCCAGTTTTCAAATATCTCACAGTGAGTAAATAAGAGCATCCACACTACCGGTGCCATGTTCTCCATATCGACAATTAACATGAGGTAGAGAGTTGGTAATCTAATAAATACTATTTTGACACTGAGTGTTTGAGAACAAGGTAGTAAACACACTTCTTTTGTCTGCCAAGTGACAACTCCCTCGCCTTGCACTTCTTTGGGTCAAACAATTTTCTCAAATTCCTAATACCTCCTAGAACGTACCTTCAAATTCTTCAAATAAATCCTGTATTTCCTTCCTGCAAAGAAATCACATTTTTTACTTTAATGTATACAAAAGGCCGTTGTTGTAGTGTGAGTGGAGGAAGTGGAGTGTGCCACACAGCCTACATACAATTCACATTTCAAGAGCAGGCACTGACTTTTCTAGATTTCTTTGTGTGCAGAGGAAGGGCATGTGTGCACCCATGCTGACCTCAGAGGTAGAAGTGTGGTGTCCTCCTCTCTCCATCCCCACCTTATTACTGTCAGACAGATTCTATGACAGGATCTGTAGTCTGCTGGAGGCATGAGACTTTCATTTCTTACCACACTGAACATCTGATTGACTATGGGATGAATGCTTTGAGGCCTTTAAGCTCAATGCACCCAGTACATTTATGCGATGCATACACATTACAGGCTGCTGCATTTACATACTTACTTATTTATTTAATCTCAGTTTATTTTGTTAGGCTGGCAGTCAGCAAGCATCTGTAGTCCTCCTGCCTCTGCCGCATCATACCTCTCAGTTCTGGACTTAAAAAGTGTGTGTGGCCATGCATGGCTTTTTCTGTGGGTGCTACGGATCTGAACTCAGGTTCTTGTGTTTGTACATCAGGCACTCTTCCACTGAGCCCTCTCTCCAGCCAGACTTTTCTAAATTTATTTTATGAGTGGGTAAACAACGAACGTATCACCTGGCCTGTTGCCCTTCTTTTCCAGAGGAAGTAATGTCCTCACTACTGACATCAATGACTCCTTTGTCCACTGTATTAAAAAGGAAGAGGAAAAATATTTTGAAACAAAGTGTGCTGTTCTCATCACCCCCCACAGAAAACAGCTTCATTTTGGGGTTTCTAGATCCCATAGCAATGGTTACACTTTTTAAGGCAGTCATCTGTGGAGTCACCTCTCTCTCTTTCTCTCTTTCTCTCTTTCTCTCTTTCTCTTTCTCTCTCTCTCTCTCTCTCTCTCTCTCTCTCTCTCTCTCTCTCTCTCTCTCTCCTCTCTCTCTCTCTCTCTCTCTCTCTCTCTCTCTCTCTCTCTCTCTCTCTCTCTCTCACACACACACACACACACACACACACACACACACACACACACACACACACGCAAAACTCTTTGGGCTTGAGTCTGGGAACAGTTGGTGCAGGCACCTGTACAGGCCTTCCAGAGAGTCACTGTGACCCATGTGCTCCCAGAGAGGCAGGCTGACTAGAAAGAACGGCCTTGTGCGCCTTGCAGGTGTCCTGTGGGGTGGGAATTTAAGGTAGGGGAACCTAAAGCCACAAACAAGCTTGAGCAACAGTTATTAGCATCTGAAACCTCCTGCTAGTCCAAGAAAAATCCATGCACCTCATCCACTCAGTGCTCCATCTGCCAAGAGATTTTAGGATGTTCCCCGGAGTGGACACAGCCCTACAGGAGCCCATCTGTTTTTCACCTGGGGTGATTGCATCTGGGTTCTGGGTGTCATCTGATGTGAGATTTGGATCCAGCCTTGGGCACATGCCAGCACTGTCAGTGGCTTTCCTTTCCCTGCTTGACATGGCTAGAATCTTCTTGGGCTAGATAGGACTCCTAGAACTACAGACACCAGGAGGAATTACAAGATAGCAATGGCAACAGGGACTGGGACTCCACAGGGTGCGGCCAGGTGTCCTGGCACTTGTGCTGCAGCAAAGAGAGGGCAAGAGGATGTCACCAATGTTCCGTTCTGTCCCATTTCTCTACCAGAATGTGGAGCTCCCCAACCCACTACTTATCAAGATCGTTACTCTCTGCTGCTTTCCCAACCCTTGGTTGGGAAAATCCGGGGCACTGCCCCTCCCTGTAAAACAAGGCACCTAATACTGGTTTCAGGTTGGGAATTCCAACTGGCTGAGGACCTACTCAGTCACCAAGGCCATATCTCCCAGCTCATACGCTGTCCCACTCAGCCCTCCCAATCCCTGTAGCCCTCATGACCCCTCCCTAGCCTTGCCCTCTGGGGCCTTGTCCAGTCCCATTTGGAAATGAAGCTCCTGGTATCACCCCACAGGTTTGCCTTGGTCCTGCCTCTTTGTGACCCCGCTGTCCTACCACATGAGCTATGGAAGGCTCCTCTCTGATCCCTGTCACAACTGGGGAGACTCATAACAGAGTTCCCCAATAGCCAATCATCCACCCAGGGTACTCTCCCACCCTGGGAGCCTCCTTCTCCTCAGAGAGTGGTCATATCTATCTCCTCAGAGAGTGGTCATATCTATCTAGGCCTCACCTCCCAATGCACATCTCTCTGACTGTCTGGAAAGGCATACATGCCCACGATTAAGTGGCTTAAACTGGCACTTGTAGGATTTGGATGCAGAAGCTGCTGGTTGGTGAAGGGGCCCAGTCCTGCCCCACCCCCTTCAGATAGGCATTTCTGTCGAGGCAAGGCCCATGGCCGCATGTAAGTGAGACCCAGATGTCCACTGAGGCCTCCAACTGGACACAAGGAGCAATACATGGAAGTACTTCTTCTTCTACACCTCACTGTCACACCCAGCTCTCTTCAAACCCAAAACCCTCAGGACCCCTTCCTCCACTGCTCTCGGTGTTCTATTTCACTACCAGGTGAAAGTGAGTCTTCCAAACTTCACATCACAGATAAACCTTGACCCTTCTGCCTCAAGCTCCCACTCTCCTCCCCAAAGGGCTGTGGATCTAGGCTGACCCCAGGCTCACGACTGAGTCTGCTAATTACCCTGTCACTCACCTAGGTGACCACACTTCACCACCTTCCTCTGAGAGGCCCCACCTCCTGGAATGGATCTCTGACTAGCTGAAACACCATTACGTGGGCACCCCTGAGGCTGCCTACAGGCACTCCCAAAGCTGTGAGGCTTGCCCATCAGTCACCCATTCCTGACTTGGGTCCTGCTGTTGTGCACATGCTTGCGCAAAGTGGCCAGCGTTCCTCCTCCCCTTCAGACTACCCAACCTGTCGAGGTATTGCCGGTGGAAGCATCACAGGAGGACCCAGTTGTCCGGTCTAGACCCAAAGGCAAAAAAAAAAAAAAAACACGAAACAAAACAACAACAACCAAAAAACCCCCGGCAGATATGGAAAGTCCCCACTCCCTCTCCCAGCCCACTAACTGCCCTGTCCACTGTTCTAGGGCCCTGCTGCCCTCATCACCCCTTTTCACTATTGGCTTTGGTGCCTCTTCCAGCCCAAAGTGGAAGTGAGGCTCCCGAAGTCACCTCCCTGGCTACCCTGGACCCTCTCATTCTGTGATCCCACGGTCCTACATCAAGAGCTTTCACCTTTCCTGATGCCTCTAAACCACCCCTGGAGCCACACCACAGCACCCAAAAAAGCCCCAGAAAACAAACAAAAATCCTGTCACCCATTTACGTGCCTTGGCTCCACCAGAGAGCCTCCTTCCACTCAGAGGTTGATCACGCTTAGTTTGGCCCCACCTCCCAATATAACGCTCTCTGATTGGCTGGCATAATAGCACTTGTGCATGCGCAGTGGGTACCAGCACTTTGCACATGCGCCAAGGGATCCAGCACGCCTTGCCCAGTCACGCTTGCCTTCCTGTTGAGGGATGGCCCATGGCTTCATTTCATTGGGCCACAGCCACAGCCAGTTATGCCCATCTTCCTATGTGTCTATCTCTGATTGACTGGAACAGGAAGGCACATGGTTGTGTGACAGAGGCCAGCAGTCCAATGGGTCGCTCACGTGAGGCAATAGTATACACATGCGCAAAGAGAGCTCAGGTGAAACTCGAAGGATGGGCAAACCTATTAAGTCAATCAGACATGTACACTTGGGCACAGCAGTTGCGCATGCGTGAGGGGTCCGCGTTACTTTTCTCTCTAAATGGTGCTCCCGTTGCTCGATGGCCGTGGCTCTCTCAGAGGTCTCAGGTGTTCAGTCTGGCCTTGTATAGTACACAGGGGGCAGATGTTGAATATCGTGAGTCCCTCCTCTACCACACTGTCCGGCTCAGATATCCCAGGCCTTCTCTTTCTCAAACCTCTTCTCTGACCTTCCAGAGGTGCCTAGTCCAGTCTGAGGCTAAAGCCAGACTCAGGCACATTGCATCACAGGCCCTCTTGCGCAAGCCTCCTTGTGATCCCCACACACCCAAGGGCTGTGGTCAAGCATTACTCTTCCTAACTCACCTTACCAGAGGATGCCTTTTCACCCAGTTACTCACCTAGGTGACCCTAACCCAACCACACCATTGAGAGCTTCCTTCCCTTCAGAGAGCAGTCCCAGTCTTTCCAATGTACATGTCTCTCTCTTTTTTTTTTTTTTGCTGGAAGGGCATGCGTGCTCACCTGCGAGGCAGGCCTGGCAAGAACGAATGAGTGCAGTGGCTCATCCATCCGTGCATGCATGCCTGACAGGTGGCCATCAGGCATGTCTCACGATACACACTCTACTCCCCAAGGGCTGTGGATAACGGCAGTCTCTGCCTCTGCTGAAGCCTCACCACGGAGTTCCTTAATAGTCAGTCACACACCTTCCCACCCCGATCCAACAGGGTACCCTCAGATACTTCTACTTTTAGAGCGATGAGGGGAGGGGCTCATCCAGTTAAAGGCCACCTCCTTGAGTATACAGTTAGGTTTGCTGAAATAGCACCCATGTGTGGGGCAGCCCCTTCAGGTCTTGTATCAGGCTATCTTAGTTAGGGTTTCTATTGCTGTGATACAACACCATAACCAAGGCAACAACAGAGAAGAAAGAGTTTATTTGGGGCTTATGGTTCCAGAGGGTTAGGGTCCATAATGGCAGGGAAAGCAGGTGGCAGACATGGCAACTGCAGCTGGAAGTTGGAGCTGAGGGCTCCCATCTCAAACTGCAAACAGGAAGTCAAGAGAAAACACTCCAAATAGAGTGAGTCTTTTGAAACCTCAAGGCCACCCCTAGTGACATACTTCCTTCCTTCAGCAAGGCCTCATCTCCTTAGCCTCTCCAAACAGCTACTGTTCAATTTCAGAGTGGAAAGAAACCAAAATCTGACCTCAACAGATAAGCCTGACTGTGTTTATCAGCAAAGCGGGGGGCTGCAACTTTCTGGAATGGAAGTTGTGCCAAGGGGAGGGAGCTGGTCAGGGCTCTTATAGGAGTGGGCATGTGTGGGCAAGGGGCTTGGATAAGAGGAAGTTGATGCAGCTCTGTGGGGTACATGCAGATTAAGATGTTCTTGAGAAATTTATGATCTCCTCTTCCTGAGATTGTGTTCCCAAACAAGGCATTCTATCTTGAGAAACTACCTGCCGTAGCCTGGAGTTATGTGATACAGGACTTGACAATTAACCCAAAATTTTCTTTTCAGAATCCCCTAAAGATGCCTTCATCCTAGAAAGAGGAAGTAATTTTAAGAAAACAACGCCCACATTCCCAAGAGGTGGGATGGGAGGTTTTTGGCCGTTTAATGAGTTTTGGATATTGTCATTGTTTATGATGGTTGGTTACAAGTTGTTAATTGTTAATGGTCAGGAAAAAAGCTGAACAAGGAGATTGGATTCAGAGTTTTTGTTTAAAGAAGAAAAAAGAGAGAATATGAATATGATAAGATAAAAGGTCAATTTTTGAATCTACTTTTAAAAAGGAACTACTTGTTTTAAATAGGATAAGTAGTGAAATTTTTTTTGTCTGAGTTTATCAGATGTTACTGGACTGGACATTGTTATATATTAATGGAGCTTTTTTGTCTGAATCTGTCAAATGTTAATGGACTAGACATCGTTAATGTAATCTTGATTGTATATATTGTATATACTTATTAGATAGTTTTTCTTGTATTAGCTATAAGCTTTTTTTAAAATTTTAGACAAAAAGAGAGGAAATGTGGTGGTATTGTGTTCCCCAAAATATTGTACACTCTAATAAACTTATCTGGGGTCAGAGAACAGAAAAGCCACTAGATACTTAGGATAGGCAGTGGTAGCACACACCTTTAATCCTAGCATTCCAGAGGCATAAATCCATCTGTTCAAGGATACAGCCAAGCATAGTGACTCACACCTTTAATCCCAGAAAGCGAGACTTTAATCCCAGGGAGTGATGGCAAAAATAGAAAGATATATAAGGCTTGAGGACCAGAAACTAGAAGCATTTGGCTGGTTAAGCTTTTAGGTTTTGAGCAGCACAGTTCAGCTGAGATTCATTCTGGATGAGGACTCAGAGCCTTCCAGTCTGAGGAAACAGGACCAGCTGAGGAACTGGCAAGGTGAGGTGGCTGTGGCCTGTTCTGTATTTCTGATCTTCCAGAATTCACCCCAATAACTGGCCTCAGGTTTGATTTTATTAATAAGAACTTTTAAGATTCATGCTACATCTGTGGATGTTATTGACCCATAGCAGTGGGGCAATGACAGCAAGACAGTCTCCGGAGACTTGATGCTTGTCTACAGCCAGGGCATTCTAGCATCCTTGGGACCAAGTATTCAAATGCCTGAGACTATGGGGCACATCTCCTACAAACCAGCACACAGGTGATGCTCTGGTGGAAATCCACCCCCCCCCCAACTGCCACATGTAAAAAACAATGGAATTCCC